GTACATGTCCAGAAATACCTGTTGTATCAAATATGATACAAAAAGAAAAATGGGTTATCCAGGTCATATTTCAAATTTTTTTTTTGTTTTGTTAAAAGCATCCAGAAAACAGTTCAGTCTCTGAAAATTAGAATTTTCTGGCAATTATTTAATAATGCAGGCTTTATAGGGTTAAATGTCATCCATGATTCACCTACAATATTATTGTGTCAAGGTTAGACTGCAAAAGTATGTTCTTTTTCCCTCTTTGATCACTTACCACTTGTTTTTCATAAATGACTGGTTTCAGAGTATCCTCATCTTATTCGGAAGAATCCTTGTTCTGGGGTGCTAACCCTGTTCAAGGACACTTACCATGTTTTTCTGGGTTTTGAGGGGCTTTCAGAGGACAGGGAAAGGTGTTGCTCAATATGTTTTTCACACCACTGGTCAGCATGAGACACCTGCCTTGTCTTCAAACAGAAGAGAAAGCTCTGCTCTTACTATTTTTGATTGTAGCTGTGCCTAGCGGCAAGAAGATGGGAAAGCATTGCCTAACTATCTTTGATTGAAACCGCACCTAGTGGTCAGTGTGTGTAAGACGCTCACCTCATCCTCAGGAAGAGGGGGGGACGCATTGATTATAGAAACTTGTCTTATCACTTCTGATTGAAGCTGCAAACTGTTTACCCGGACAAAAATTGGAAATTAGACAACACATTGCCTGAGTGGAGGGGTGAGCCTGGCCAGCTAGTCTCCTGCTCGCAGGCAGTGCCTAAATTTAGCATAAAAGAAGGGGGAGATCTGTGTTGACCGGAGCTCAGCCGTGGGATAGAGCGCGTGTTGCCCAGCACTTTCTTGGGACTCACGCGTTGGTCTCCTGCCAGGACTGAAACGGGCTCCCCAGTCTAAGAGTGAGGGATGATGGCACGTCCGAGTGTGAATAGCTTTGCAGTGATAATTTTTTTGATTCAATCAATTATCGCAATAACCATAATATCAAGTTGCACTTTCTATATATGCATGTTTCGATTGTCACTTTTTTATACATGCCTATAATCACTTGTATTGGCGGTTTTATTGTTTGATTTATAATACCATTGGATATCACTTTTGATATGGAATTATTTTGCATTCTCTTTGATCCAATATTTTGGTATTGATTTTAATGCAAGGTTATTTTGTATTATAATAAAGCGTTTTTAGAAGCAAACCCAAGTGTGCCTGTTTGTTCCTTCGAGAACCCAATATCCCCCTCACATCATCTTAAAACAGGGATGAGCCAAGGAGATCTAAACTATAAAAACCAACTAAGAAATAAAAACACCAGTTCCCCCAGCAGGGCGGCAGACAGGCCACCAGCCACTGCGGGATCCCCAGCCTAATAAAAATTAAAATAAAAGCAGGAATAAAAGGCTAAAAAGGAAGGCACGGGTCACCCCGTGGCAGCGACGGTCAAGCCACCTACTGGGCATGCATTAGATTTGCCATGCCTTCCTCTAAAAAACCCGACGCAATCCAATGAAAAAAGTGTTTTAAAACTGATAATGCACTTGGTCTTAGCCAAAAGGCCGAAAAGCGATGCTGTTTAGAACCCTCTTTTTTAAAAATCAGAGAACCTTTAGGATTCTTTTAATTGAATCCTCTGAAATGGTTCTATATAGAACCTTGAATGCCATATATGTACCAAACTATGGAACTCCACTGCAGTGAGAACTAGGTGAAACAGCACCCCCATGGTGTGACAATCATATCTCTTGTTGTACCAGTGATCAGGGGAGAGCGCGGACGCAGTCCCCCACTACCAGAAATTATGCAGTCGAGATTCCCACATTTGGGGAATTCGCAGGGGTCAGCACAGCCGGAGTGCAATGGTTGAGCCTCGCCCTGGGTGAACCACCTTCTTGATCATGGTATCTCCCCTGCCAGGTAAGTATGAGTTGCTCTCGCCTTCAGATGGCACGCCACTCTACAGCAAGTATGTTTAGTTCGCGGTTTTCCTTTCGTATGGACAGATCTCAGCCTATAGTGATTCTGAACAAGTATTCCTCAAAAGTACTTTTGCTTTGCTGTATCTGCTGCCGTGTGAGCTGTATCGTTTTCATTTTGCATGTTGTCACCCACTTCAGATGTCCCAGAATGCCTTGCACTTCCATAATTTGTGGAACCATCCAATCAAACAGGAAGAGGGCTGTACAATGTTATCAGAAGTAAAAGGCTGAGGGACGTTAGGGCACGGAACACGAAAAAAACACATTCAACTCTGGCTTGAAAATGTATTAAATTAATATACTTTAATCATACCTTTTCACAGACTATTAAACGCTGAACACAAGCATGCAGGATGCTTTAGAAAACACATCTGTGGTTAACTGTACACCGCAGTGCAAATGTAGTTTTTGACCCCTTGGATTCAAGCAGCAAATTACTGGAAGCTGCTCCCCCAGCGGTGTGGGTCTGTTTCCCTCCCCCGCCATGCTCTTTGTTCCATCATGCCAGCTCTGCCTTTAAGAGGGTGACAGTTTTCCCTTTTGCTTTAAGCATACATTCCTTTGTATGTGTAAGGTGATCCTTAGGCCAGTGGGTGGTGCTGTCAGTAGCGCTGTTGTCACACCCCTGTGTTAGCCTGTTGCTATCTTAAGTGAGGAACAATAACATTACTGACAGGACAAACACCTGCTGAAACAAAGTTATTTAAATTGTGGCATGAAATGTCAAATGACTGACAGCTGACACAGCTTTATAGACTTAAAACTTAAATGACATCATGCAGTCAAATGCAGCCTCTGGTTTGGACTATGCCTAACTAGGCTTGGACAGAATTGAATTTTTCATACCATCACACTGTCCATACATGATACCGTGGAATATGGTATCTTGATGGAAATTTGAAATGTTGACAGTAAAGTTCACCTATTGGGGGATTGGAGTCCCCACGATAAAAATTGCTGTTGAAATCCAAGCAGTTTCCAAACTCCGCTTTTCAGGTTATGACGAGTTAGTGCATCACCACATTCTTCTGATTC